CCAGGCAAGACAAAGCTTTATAGTTCGCTAGTTCCGCCCCCCTCCTCCTTATAGAGACCTACAAAGTCTTCTGAATTTACGAAATTGTATTATCGTTATTTAATATGGCTGTATGAGCTTCACAGAAGTTTATGTGTCTCCACGTCGATGGGAGCTGGCGAAATGTCCAAAGCGCCTTAATCCTTTAAACCCTCCAAGCTTACTAGCGCCAATTGTCGTTTATTATTCCGGATGTCTCCTCAGATTTATTAGGGTTCACTGGACGTACTCTATTAACTTCAAAATGGGTGCGTAGCGAGCCACCCGGCCAGGTCATCCGGCCCCACTGGGTTTCCGCCGGTCACCGCGATCGTTAGAGTGATGCCAAGGCCTACTTTTAATAACAGTGATAACCCTCCAGAAGAGTTATCATTCGTTCGATATTTCTCCCATAGATGGTCCGTGGAGCCTTTCAAGAGCATTGTTTGAAGAAAGTTTCCAGTCTAAGTTGTACAGTCAGAAATTTGTTTGAGCCAAAGAGCATCCGCTGAAATGCGTTAATTCAGGGATTCTGTGAAGTAAAACGATACTAAAGGATCAAAAGAGCTAGGAGATCTGATTGAACCAATTAAAAGTGATTCTATCTGGTATGACGTCCCAGTTCTGCAAAAGTAGTTGAAATACTATATCACCACAAGTTACTAACACCCGACCATTTTGCAAGCAGGAAATTGACGAAGATACGGTACAATCCTAATTGGAGAGAATCACACGTACGTGAGAGACGCAGACACAGGGTGAGTCGACACGCTGCAGCGCTGCCATGCCGAGTGGGGTGGGTCCTACTGCGAACGCTGCGCACATGACCCTGCTTGCCACGCCTCTTTCGTCGCGCTCGCCCCGACTCGGGACTACGCTAATCAAAAAGTGGTATATCTCCTAAGGTGTGAAGCATTACTCCCCAAACGCGCTGGAATAGACATTACAAGCAGGGAAACGTACGCAGCATTCGCACCAGGACCCAACCCACTTAACGTGTCAGCGGAGCTAGGCGTCGACTCCATGTCTCAAGTCAACTCGTACTGCGATGCTGCAATTAGGGAGTAGCACTCCACACTGCCCGCATCTACAGGCTTGCTGACTGCGGATGCTCAGGCGTGTCAGAGGGCTGGTTTCAGCGCCTTTTCCACCAATTGTAGTTGCTTGCCAGTTTCCATAGTTGGTGCAGAACGGGCTGACGCCGCGCCAAACCCGGTCCCCTGCCATGCACCAGGGTCAGCAGCAAACAAGAAAGGACACATGCTCCTACCTGTAGATAATGCTCACGCCTAGCAGAGCGCAGACGACTAGAGTCACGGTGGCAGTCTCACAGGGGAGAAGTGGCCGCGCTGCGCGTGCGCGCCTCCCCTTCGACTGTGAATGCACCCAAATGGATTTGAAAACTCTTAACTTTCCGAAGAAATGAGTAAGTTATAAGAGCAAAAGGTTATGAAGTGGTTCGAATCATCGGTCTCGAACTTTGAGGGTTCAATCAACCGGTTATTTGACCAACTTCCTGAACTGAACCAAATAACAGTGGTTCGTGTAATGTGCTAGGGGCTCGTATAAGGGTCGAATTGACGAAACGAAGCACCGGTATTTAGTGAAAGTTTTTGAATCCATTATTTTTTCACCTTTCCCAACTGCTACGAGAATGGTGTTCAGGCTAGAAAACCAATCGACCATTTAAGATTTATGGGGGTTATATGGGGGTGTAATTGATAGGTATAGGCGAGTTATCATCACGTTTCGTAATAGAAGCCCTGCAATCTAATTGCTATTCAGTAAACATATCCCGTAAATTGTCCTCATATTCAGGTGCTATCAATGGGTAATCAATCTGTGATGCTCATTACTGCCTGAAAATAGACCTAGACCAAGTCAGTACGGAAGTAACGCTCATAAAAAGTAAAGAGGAGCCAAGAGAAGTTACGAAGATTTTCGTGCGAAAGATGAATTTGAAGGAGCCTTAGGAGAACGTTCTGAGAACGTTCTGAAACGTTCTCAGAACGTTATTCTCTGAGATAATCTGTGGACGAGGAGAGTTCTACGCTTCATTGGAAGACAAGAAAGGGGGGAAAATAACGAAATCTGCCAGTGCACACGATGAGAGGGTGAACGACAAGCCAAAATGAGCAAATAATTGCTAAACTCGATCAATACGGCAATAGTGTTAGCCGATGACAACGTAACAACCAGTCAGGCCTCAATGCACTAATTCAATACAAATAAGTTCAAAAAGAACGTTCGAGAAGTGGTTTTAAAGCAATTCAGAGGCATATGGAGAGAAAAGGGGCAGAGATGGCACGTAAAAATGCGATGAGATATTGCCAGATTTTGTGTAAAGCTCTAGATCATCACATTAAAGCCTTCGAGTCCTCTATGTGAGTCTGAGAGTTCCAATAAAGAGGTATGGTGGTTGAGGTCTGAGTAAGAGGGGACAAGAGAACCAAGAGGATCATTAGTGAAGTGGCTACCCTAGTTACCTAGCGGTAAAGCAAAGTTCTAGCCAAAATTAGCCAATAGCACTTGAAGATGTAGCACGTTCAGCGAATCGGAATGTGAACGCCGAGAGGATCGGGGGCGGCTTGAAGCCCTGGCTGCTTTGTTCGAGCACAAGTGTCGCCGTGAGGACACTCTTTAGATACATACACACACTCAGACAGAGGCACGGAGCATATCGAAAGTGCTCGAACACTTTTCTTCAAGTCTCAGGCTTAATTCAGACCCCTAGAACTAGACAGACAAATCTAGTACAGCTAAAGAGCATCTCTTGTAGATGTACTTCAAGATCTGACGTATACAGCTGTTGTGATCCAATAGCTTGCATCATCAGCAGTAGCAGGAGCAGCATTTTCATCTCGTCCCGCTCACAGCTGGTTATGTCTGACTGGCAGTGATTCGGCGTGTCTGTTTACTCAGCGCTATTTCGCGATATATCCATGCCCAATCGATTGACATCTCAATCATCTGATCCGGGAGAGAATTGTTTGAGTTCGTTGACGGATGTGATGGATCTGCTGCTGCTGCTACTGCTGATGCCGTTGGGTATACGGTTATGGCCGGCTGGCAGCTGCGGTCACGGTTACGGTCGAATGGGTACACTTACGCGCGCGTCATTTCTATCAAATCACTAGCAATGACGGATCCACAACGATCGACAGTAATCACGCGCTAATATGCGGTCACCTTCTGGGGAAGAAGGTTGAACTTCCTGGCTGAATCAAAAGTTAAGCTTGGCTTCAATTGCACTATGGGCAGTACTAAAACGTCGCGATATTACCAGTAACTGAAAGCAGGTACGTCTTAGGTTCAGCTTCGCATTGGAAATGCAAGCAATTCGGCTAACGGCGGCCACTCGTTGACTAGCCGAGCACTGACTGACCGCTGTCAGCGCGAGAGCCAGAGCCAGTGTCTCGATCTAGTGTCCAGTATGTGCAGTCCAGACTACCACCTGCATCTTGTGACGAACTGAACGTGAGGTGCGGGCAAAACTAGCCTACGCCCAATAACGCAAACATGCAGAAACACTCACCCACACATAGACAGACACATAGCTTAGTAAGCGTGTGATTGTCACCAACGATAGGAAGGAGATTAGCGATGAATGATAGGAATGGAGATGTTCAGATGATGATGATGATGATGATGATGAGATGATCTATGATGATATGATGTCTTCGGGATGATTGCGGGGCAGCTAGTTTCTCGGTTAGTCAACGAGTCGTGCAGTGGGGATGTCAAAGCGCGCCGCAGTGATTGCGCTGAAGAAGACAGGAAATAAAAGACGTGGTGAAAGCTCAGCAGAGCGATGACGTGAGAAAATTATCTGCGAAGCCATAAAGTTCTTTTACGTGAAGGAAGGGGGCTCTTGTTAGTGGGAGGCGGTGATTTATAGGACGGATTTAATAGATTTTTTGTAAGCGAAGAAACTGATTTTTGATAAAAGTTCGTGAGTAAAAATTGGAAAACGAGGGGGAAAAAAGTGAGAGGAGTAAAAGAGCATCGTTCAAATGGTACGGGGTTCAATTGACTAATGAAATAGAGTAAACGTGTCACATGGTGGGTGCAGCTACGGGGCGTCACGTTTGCGTTTGCGGGCAAAGCGCGGTGGCGTTTGTGTTATGTGAGCGCCGGGAGACGAGAAGACGCAACTGACTGGTTAGTGACTGGTAAGAAACTAGCTCTACACAAGGAAAAGATATACATCAAGCAACATTGCGGTTTCATGAAAGCCATCACACAACAGAACAATCCCAGAGCCTCAGGACCTTGTCGTATCCCTTTAGCTCATCCCAGGCTCTACCCCCACAACACAACCACTTCCACACCATGCACTCCATTACCACCAAGTAACTAGTACCGGCGCTGTCCCTGTTGGCATTTGTCCAAAAAACACGACGTCAAATGTGTAATAAGGAACACAAATAATGCGGTTTTATTGATCTTAATCATCACCTACCACCATATGATCGCTTCCTGGTGAGTGTTGCCGTAGAAGGTCGCCTCGAACGCATTTCACCAGCTTTAATCATGCAATTAATGTTAACAACTATATGAAAACATACAGTAACAATTATAACAAAAGTCAGGACAATCGATAATATTAGTAGTACGACTAGGTTAGTCGTGAACTCGCATGTGTACGTGCACAAACGTGACAACAGTAGTGTTGCGGTTAAGTCATAGAACACTCTAGCCATGGCACAACCACAGAAAATCGTGCACTTCCCTCAAGAATTGATGGAATTCAGTGAGCAAATTGAAGTCGTCACAAGAGGAGGTGTGGTGTAGAAGTACCATATAAAGTGGTTGAAAAAAAAGCAAACTGGTTTTAGTCCTGGAAGTTCGAGACCGTAGGTTTTCAGCCTTAGAAAAATGGTTGTACGAGTAGAGAAATGAGCAATTAGGCTTGTATTGTATGAAAAAGAGACTGGTAACAACTATTCTGTGGCGGCGACAGTAGCCATCAAGGGTTTTCGCTGAACCAGCAACCGCAGCAGGCCGGCCAGTCAGTCAGACGACATCGAAAGTCAAAATTTTCGGGCGCCCAGAGACGGATATTTCTGAATGCGGGGATTGATTGCGCACATGGAATAAAAGCGTGGCTAATTTGCGGTATTCAGTGCCGGCGAAAAGAAGGAGGAGGCGTGAATGAACGCGCCGGGCCAGACAAAGGCGTCCGGATTGGCGTTCAAAATCGCCGACGATCCTAGGCATACCCTACGCTCTGAACATCAACAACTGCTTAGCCCTGAATGTAAATGCGGGAAGATTTCGTGCTCAAAGGGACCACATAGATTGGCCGGGTCATGGCTGATGGCCAAGGGAAGGAATGGAGTGTGTGGGAGTGATGTGTGGGAACTCAACAGATGTTAGGAGATCACTCAGTTAAGCTCTCTCGTGGGGAGGGCTTTCAAATGGATGGGCTCTAACTCAACTTCAGCCATAAGTTCAGCTCTTGTGCTCAACAAATTATTAAGAAGGACTTTAGACCCGAAATTCTCGGATAGATTCTAGCTGTGAGAGGATCAGAGGACGGATCTCAATAGAAGCCAGAGCACGTACTGTGGGTGGTAGAGGGCGATGGCCATCGAGACTTTTACGAGTTTCGGCGTGTGGGTCTCCTGAGCGAATAAAAAGCCGCCAACAGATGTGAAATGAAGTAGCGAACGGGGAAGAGGCACCTCGTGAGCCCTGTTGGCCGACTTCTGGCCAGCAGACGTGCTTAGTATCGGCGGTGAACAACTGGCACAACAGCTGTCGGCCAGCGGTTGAAAAGTTGCTGACAGAAAAAAGTTATTTGTACAATCTTTTTGAATATCAATGAATCTTGTTTCAAGAGTCATATGGCCATTGGTTTGAACGAGCTAGGGAACCCAGCATTCTTCAATAGCATGGCGTGCGTGAGCGCCTTTGAGTCTATGGGCCGAACATTTTGTGAATAGAGAGACTCAAGCGCTCCAACTCCTCCATTGTGCAGACTCACAATTGTGTGCGATTGTTTCCAACTACCTCACATCAATTATTTCTAAGCCCTTTTCGCATTGGTGCAGCCGCAACGTTACTACTTCATATTCACTTTGGTATTCGCAGAGCAATCGAATATAAAGGACTTTGCACGGAATTTCGTCATTGCCCACGCGCTTTGAGCCGTTTTCAAGCTTTCACTCATGCCTTTAACAGTTACGTGGTTTACTCTGCAGTAGCAGAGAAATTGAAAATGTGACGGGACCATAGCTGAATCTAAACTAGTGAGCTCGGGCTTCACTAGACTGACCTATCCTTTCCTTATAGTAAATCTTAGTTCAAAAGGGCAATGCCCGTTGTCCGGATTTGGCGGGGGGAGGGGTGGCTTTGCTACTCCGCTAGCCCCTATTAACTAACAGCTCTCGGTTTGGTAACCTGCAATGCCTTGTGAAGTTGCGGAATGATACTAGTGGGCCGCTATAGTTACAAAAAAATAAAAGCCTTCACGAGCTCCGCTGAGAACCATTTGGCGCTCCCATCAAGCCGTACTCTGCCCAAAAAAGATATAAACCATATTTAGGGCCTGAGCGCTTAGCGCCATTTGTAGTTCAATCAAAGAGTCAATGATTTCTGATTATCACCCTACATGATGTACATAAATACGGGCTTAGTACGTGCACAACCTAATAATGGCACGGTAATTGTAGGTAAAGAAACAACACTTCCCATTAAATATGCGATGCTAAGGGGATAGTGGATGCATCACGCGATCACAGAAACCGAGCTCTTCAATCGCGCTGCCTGAAACCAGACTCTCCTATTTGCAACTCGTGGAGTTCAGAGATGAAAGCGGGGGTGGCCGGCGATCTGACATATAAGGAAAAATAAATGAATGCCCGAAAAGGCGAAATAAAGCCCCCTAACCGGGCTCAAGAACTTGCTGATTTCATACCAGAAAACCTATAGGACACCACCTGCGTGTAAGCGCTGGTTCACAGTTTTTCATACCATCCTTCTATACTAAAAGCAGTACAACTTTGAAAGAAAGAATAATAAGCACAGAAATAAGTTTTCTTGCATAGACTAGGTTTGGAAACTCTTGGTGAAAATTTGCGATTACCGTAAACCACGGACAATTGCACCAATAAAATTGCATCATAAGTGAATTGATGCAGAATCAAAGCGCATTTAACCTCGTGCAAGGGACTTTTTTTCGCTGCATGCGCCCCTTTCAGAAGGGGCATTCAAGGAGAGTATAACGCTTCTCTTTAGGCATAAGGGAGGGAGTTAGAAGACGCCACAGACAACAGGTCGGTCCCGTACGGAATGAAAGTCGCCTGTAATTACAGACACAACTGCTACAGATCTTGCCGCCAATGGGCGAGGCGACTTGAGGGTAACGCTATAACTTCAAGCTGGGACGTCCGCAGCGCTCTGCTCACTCATTGTGGACCCGCAAAAGTGAGACAGTCCCTGAGATTACTGAACGGACTACCTGGGCAAGAAAGGAATCCTACGAACTGGCTGGAACTACCATATATAAACTGGAAAACGTGGTAGGAATATGGCGCGGGCGCGGGGTCTGGCTTCAAAGATTTGGTTCCTGAGTCTATCGTCCGTGTCGCGGTAAAACTCCGTTTGTGTAAAATATGTAACTATTCGTTTGTTGTACAGCGAATGTTTGTAAATTAGGCGTTCAGCCAGAATATAGCTGTTTAGTTTCTATATTTGATTCTATTCTGTATTATTACCATCATTATCATCATTGTTTATTTATTTGTCATTATTATTATTATTATTATTATTATTATTATTATTATTATTATTATTATTATTATTATTATTATTATTATTATTATTATTATTATTATTATTATTATTATTATTATTATTATTATTATTATTATTATTATTATTATTATTATTATTATTATTATTATTATTATTATTATTATTATTATTATATATTATTATAAATTTTTTAATTCTAATATGATTTATTGATATTTTTAATATTTTTTTAATTTTTATTTTTATTATATTTTATTTATTTGTATTTTTTTATTTTTTTTTTTTTTTAATTATTTTAAATAAATTAATCACAAAAAATTTTCTGTATAATTTTTAAATTAAATATATTTATATTATATTGTTAATTTATTCTTATTAATTCAAATTTTATTTATTAATTATTTTTATCTATTATTAATAATTTAAAATTATATTATTTTTTTGAATTCTTTTATTTTTTTATTTTTTATTATTTATCTTTAATTAAATTTTTTACTTCTTATTATTTATTTTAATTATTTTTTTTCTAAATTTTTTTGATTTTTCTGTTTATATTTATTTTATTATTAATATTTTTTTATTTTTTTTTATGTTAAATTATTATGTAATATTTATTTAAATAATATTTATTTTCTTTTTAAATTTTTTATTATAAAAAAAATTTATAACTTAATTTAATTTTAATTTAGATAAAATATTTTTTTTTTATTTGTTATTGTTAATGAAAATTATTTCTATAAAAATTGTTTTATTTCTTTTAATGTTTTTTTTTTTTAAAATATTAAATATTAATTTTTTTTCTAAATATTACTTATTAATATATTTTGTAAATTTAATTGATTAAATTTATTTATTATTATATCTTTTTTTTTTTTTTAATTATATTTTTTTTTTTTATAATTATTTTAATAATTTTTATTAACTTTTTTAGTAAAAATTTAAATTTGAATATATTTTAATTTTTTTTTCGTTGTAATAAATTTCAAAATTTAAAATAAATTATTAATTTAAATTGATTAATTTTAAAAAGTAATTTATTTTATTATTAATAATTCTTTATTTTATTTTATTATTGATCTTTTATATATTTTTTAATATTAATTTTTTAAAAATTTTGTTAATATTCTTTTTTTTTAATTTTTTTTATTTTTTTCTTTATTATTATTATTATTATTATTATTATTATTATAAGTACATTTAGCCACATATTAGTCGTGTCTGTATCCGCAAATTTACCTAGTATAATAAATGAAAATAGATAAATATATTGATGGTAATCTTACTACGTATTTTGATCCACACTCTGAATAAGAGGTTTTATATTATATTTGTATTCAATAATTCTAATAACTATTAATTTTTTATTTAAATATATATATAAGGCACCGTCTTCACCCTTTATCCACGTTGAGGGTGGGCCCCTTCATATGCGTGCACTCAACGTGGTGAAGGGGTGAACGTTCTCTCTGGAGAACGGCCAACGGCACCGACGGTCACGCAGTCTAGGAACTGGACGGGCGGCTCTGGATAGCCCCGGCAAGGCACTTCAGGAGTATTCGACCGCTCTATATGCTACGACATTTGCTAAAAGAAGAGAATCGGCCCGGATTCAGATATGCTCTCCCACGACGCCCGGAGACGCCGCTACTGATGAAGGAAGAGATTTGGTACTGGGCGTCAACGGCCAACCTCGCTTACGACGACGACGCATGAATGATTACTTAGACATCTGTACGTATAACTGTCGAACGTTATCTATGGAGGCAAGCTTGAGAACCCTTCTTCACCAGTCGAGGAAAATTAGGTACGACATCATATGTCTACAGGAGACAAAGGCGAAGGAGGCGTTTACAAGAAAGATGGATGAGGGACAGCTGCTTGTGATAGGGCAGAAGAATCTCGTGAGAAACTCCGGAGGGGTCGGGTTCCTTGTGAACCGTTCCATCGAATCGAATGTACATTCACACGAAATCCTCAGCCCTCGGATCGCACTGCTGCGTTTGAAAACGAGACAGAAGGCGATGATCAGCATCGTAAACTGCTATGCCCCCACGAACTCAGCGGATGAAGAAGAAAAGGATGCTTTCTACCATGAGCTGGAGGAGGTAGTCAAGAGAGAGAAGTCTTATTACAAGTATTTATGCGGAGACTTCAATGCTGCGCTTGGAAATGGAAATGATGGCAACTGGAGGCTCGGCAAACACGTGAGAAAGAAATAGAAATGATAAATGGCTCACTCGTGTCTGGCATCTTGGCGTACTCTTGTAATCTCTATCCACAGGAAACTCTCTTTTTGACGAAACCTCAAAACAGGAGATAAGACCTTGCGAGAAAGTCCTTAACGGAGAGCTTCATCTTGAACTGGATCACGTTTTCACAAACAGAAGGTGGAGCCTGGTGGATGTGACGGTGCTGCCCTCTTTTGACTGTGGATCTGACCATCGCCTAGTCAGAATGACTGTTCGGCTCAATGACCAGATATTCAAAAGAGACACACACCGTGGACCCCCAATCCGCTTCCCACGATACAACGAAGAAGTTCTGGAAACAGCTATGAATAACCAATCCTGGAGGTTGCTAGAAGACGTCACAAAGGATTATGAGATGCTTAATAGCAACCTCCTTCGCTGTGCGGAAGCTGCTACGGAGAACCAAGTGGCGAGGACGGAAAGATTGAATGCGAAGGCCAAGGATCTCCTCCGACGCAGAGGAGAACTCAGAAGAGATCCTACAGTCACGCATCTGGAGAAGTCGATTGTCAATAAGGCATGTCGTTTAGCTGTCAAAGAATCTCTAAAGGAATACCGGAAACAAAAGCTGATGACAGCAGCAATGCAGAGGAAGAGCTTGAAATGCTGCCGAAAAGATTTGGTGGACTATCGCACTGAAACGACATGCCTCAAGGACAATCAAGGACGGCCAACGACTTCGAGACAAGGCATCGAGAGCATTGTAATGGACTTTTATACAAAGCTATACCGGTCAACGACAGTTGTTCCAAGGTCGCCGTGCCCTGCAAATGACGAGATTCCACCAATTCTAATCTCTGAAGTGAGGAACGTGATCGAGTCATTAAAATTTCAAAAGGCACCTGGACCAGACGGTATATCAGCAGAGCTTTTGAAAGCAGGAGGAATCACAATGCAAAAGGTATTAGCGGAACACTTCAATCACTATTTGAGAAAAGGTGAGATACCGGAACAATGGAAGTGTTCCAAGACGGTCTTGATCTTCAAAAAAGGCGATAAGGAGGACATCGGAAACTATAGACCTATAGCTCTTCTCTCAATCGTCTATAAAGTCTTCACCAAGATCATACTGAATCGTCTAGAAGATACTCTGGACTCCTACCAGCCCCCTGAGCAGGCTGGATTCAGGAAAGGCTTCTGCTGCCTGGACAATATCCATACGATCGTACAGCTGATCGAGAGATGCAAAGAATATAAAATGCCGTTGATTCTCACTTTTGTTGACTATACTAAGGCTTTTGACTCGGTCGAGATAATCGCCGTGCTGAACGCCTTACAACATGCAGGAGTCGATCCGACCTACGTCAATGTCTTAGAGAAATGTAATAGTGGGACATCGACGATCATTCAGATGTTTGACAGGAAACTACGCATCCCAATCGAAAAAGGAGTCCGTCAAGGGAGACACCATTTCCCCTAAATTGTTTACGACAGCTCTTAACCATGTCATGGTGGGATTGAACTGGGACAACAAAGGCGTGGCGGTAGACGGAAAGAAATTGTCAAACCTACGTTTCGCGGATGACATAGTCCTTATAAGCAACAATAGCAGAGAGATGAATTCACTTCTGAACGAACTCTGTGAAGCCTTGGTACAAGAGCTATCCTGGACTATCGTATGAACATGATGGAAAAACGCAGAGATGAGGAATCAGGTGAGTGCGACGATGGTAAGATACCTTGAAGGGCCGTAGCTGGTACGAAAACCAACGTTCAAATCATGATATCATCTCGCGTCGCGAGATTAACAGTGGCGAAATGATTTCCACACTATGGAAATTGGACCGCGAGCACAAAGCAGGCAGCGTGGGTCATAGCCATGGACATAGAATTCGAGACGGTGCATCGAACGAGATTTCAAGACCCTCTAGATCGTGCCAATCTCCTTCCGGATGCTTCCCCCTGCTCCTGCTCCTATGGTCACGCATGCACAACAGGGCGCCAACGAACCAAACCGGTAGTTTGACACACTCCGTAAGCAACCGCTATCATCGGGCTTCTGGAAAGACTCGCTTGGGTCGCAAAAGGCCAAGCCTGATAATCAATGCGCAGCACCAAGGACTCAATGCACGCAGACACGACATCCGAAGCGAATGCAAGACATTCCGAGACCCATCCTTCTATGTAGCTGCCGCCACGCATCAGAATCGGGCCAGGAACCGTGATACGGTCGCCAGTGGACTGACAGGTCGCCGACGACCACGAATTCCACGTACTTGGTAGTCTCGATGACCGAACTACCACCCCCCGGGGCCCCGCATACTCGCTGGTCTGATGTTTTTTCAAATCAGTTCAAACAAAGAGGTTTACCTCACTGGATGACCGTTGCACATTGCAGAAAGACATGGAGCGAATGTGGTCCACATTGCGAAAACCGCCAATGAAGATGGATCATCAAAGTATCAAAGTATCAAAGTATATCCATATAACGAAAGAATAAGTGAAAAATGAACAGAGATATCACAAGAAATCGTAATATTATCTTTGATCACGGGAAGCTGTTACTGGAAATCGCACAAAGTTACAAAAAGTAGTTTCACAAGTTTTTTTTTCATTTTCGGAAGAGCGGAGCTTACGAGGGTTTCACTTATTCAGCTTCCTGTAAGACTAGGAAAAAAGTTTAGGAGCTGGGAAAAGTTGGGGAGATGGTCGATAGAATGGGGAAGGGGCAGTGCCAGAGGAGGGGATTTGTGGAGGGGGGGGGGCACTTACATCGCTAACTCAAACAGCATGATGTTGTCCGCTGTCTGGCTGTCCGGAATGGTTTTGAACGATTTCACGAAACTCAAGTGAAACGGGGTTTTCCACGATTCCGTTACCTAAGGAGTACTTGCTGCGATTTTTAAAAATTTGTTTCACAAGAAGGGATTTCCCAAGCTGATTTTCACGGAAAAGCGAAAATAAGTGGGGGGAAAAAGCTGTGGGAGTTTGAGCCGAATTTCGAAATCTATTCAAATCGATACACCTCAGAAAAGCTGAGCTAATAGTTGTGCGGTGGATAAGTTAAAAGAGTAAACCTTCTACAAAACATCTTTTTAGCTCCTAATGAAATTGAAACCGAGTGGAAAGCGGCTGAAGTCAGACGGAGCCAGGCAGCAGTAGCTGCTGCCCTTCAGAGCCATAAGCGGAGAAGGGGGATTAGAGCACGATGACTAAGTAACGGGATTTACATAGTGAAGCGGTCGAGAAAATTCGCTGGTATTAACGAGAATGATCCAGGGGTATTAGACCGAGCCCGATGGCAACGTTAAACAATGAGAATGCCCTGCCCAGCTAGTCAGCCAGCCAGCCAGCAGTCGTCAGCCGCCATCCCCTCAGCGGCAGAGTGGCAGTGAAGCTGAAAACGTCTATTGTCCCATGGTGGCCCTTTGCAATGGACTATCATACGACATATTGGCACTTATCCAGCGATCGTAGAGCGAATTTTAATGATACCACTGCAACACTAGTAATATAAAGATTACTAGTTAAAAAGTGTACGTGAGGATGTACTTTCCCTCAAACAGGATGCCAGGCAATTCTCTTAGGAGCTCAAAATTCAACTGAACAAACCCACTAAGTGGAACTTGCAGGCTTTGAACATATTTCCAAAGGTCCTCCCATAGTACACTTACTTGCAGTGGCACAGACATCTGAATTATTAGAAGAGCTGGAAAATCAGCAGATTAATACTTGAAAGTAATCTGTTGATGATGTCCAACGAGTAAGTTCAGTGTGCTGTAAAAGTACATATGTGTGCATCAGTGACAATATTATGATGAAAATACGTTTTGTATTGTCGTTGGATATCATCAACAGATTACTTTCAAGTACTAATCTGCTGTACTGAAAGCTTTCCGGAAAAATCGGATAACTATATAGAGAAACAATATGTAATAGTTACAATCGGGCAATGACGCGGCGTTGCCGCTCGAATAGCTTCGCGAAAAAATCCCCAATTCGACGCAGCAGCAAAAACCTGACTGGCCTCGCTACGCAGTAATAAAGAGTTTCGGGAAACTAGAAATTGGATGTCATCACTTCTGAAAGTATATTACAGGCTATCTTGCTGCAATAACCAATGTCTCCAGCCAGGCCAATAAAGCGGGAAAGATAAGACCTTTAGGGTGTTGATTCGACCTCTTCAGATGCCGCATGCGTCACCCTGGAGATTCACCATTTCCGCTAAATTATGGGATTCGCTCTAATGAGGACGCCATATATTGTTTCGACCTACGTAACGGCTTTTCGGGATGAAAGGACCGTACAGCGATGAGGAAGAAAATTTCGCCACCACACAAAACTTTTCCTCACTCTGATGGCGAACCCACTCCTTCCCATCCTTCAGTCCTACCCACCATTTACCCCGAAATTCGTCCTTAAATTCCTACCAATTTCCGGAAGCTTTTCTTCCCCACCCCTCACCCCTCCCCCCCCGCCTTACCCTCCAAAAAAATGCTACTACTGAGACGGAATGAGCGGCGCGAGAAAAGGATTGGGGGAGCGGTACAAAAGCGCAGTGCAAACAGGCTAAAACAAAAAGCAACAGACTGAAAATCACATTTTTCCTGAAGACCACTCCTCCCTCCCAGCCAGCCAAATACGGCCCCTTGCTGGTAGTTACCGATGCACAGTGAGTCTTCGCATTTTCCAGACCCGACCCCTGTTCATCAGCCGCGCAGGCATGGAAGACCTATTTGGCTTTGGCTGGAATCCATCTAAGGCCCATAAAGAACGACGGGGCTTCTTGGAGCTGTACCGTCTTCCTCTGAGTTTCTTCCTGTGAACCTTTTCCAACTCCCTTGGGTGTTGCACTATTATTGAGTTGATGCATAACTTTTTAGTTGACCAACTAACCAGTTAACCAGTTACCCATTTAATCTCATTACTCAGGGTTAGATACTCTGCTAACGTTGAGTTTTTTATTGTTTGAAGCAAAAATTTATGAAGGACTAAGGGGATGAGGCTTGCTGAATTGGCTTCCCTTCCCAGAATATGGTTCAGGTTCCACTTTGGATCCTAATGGGCTTTGAATGCGGTTTGGCCTATACAGTAACTTATGAGAGTCATTCGATATAATAGTCACAGTATTTATCCTTTCAGCCGAGTCCAGTACCATTTGACCCACGCCTGAATGATGGAAGATCCGCCTTGCGAGATGGGATCCCAGATAGGGATTTTACTTGGAGGTGTGGGCGAGATAAGAGCAGCCGCTCCCAAATACACCACCTCTGGCCGTGGGTGATTAACTAAGCTAATTAATTAGAGCCAAAATGGACATTCAAGTAGCTCTCATCTTAATATGCGCTAGTTGCCGTGGCTTCTTGGGTAAGCCTTTGGCCATGCTATATTGCTATCCTTTCAGAAAAATCAGCCAGGAATTAAGCCACCCCTAAAATAGAAGGTGCAGTTGACGTTGTAATAGATCTACCCACCAAATATGGCTGTGACAGTGACACTTCTTGTCACTCGCCTTCTAATAACCAGTTTTTTTCGATATGGAACGTATTCTGTTAGAAAAACAGTCGAAATCGAGATACATTCAACTTAAAAAGGCGTTTTACATTCAAGCCATACTCGATAAATGTAACCATTTGGGACGGTGTCAGAAAGGGCGGGATGAGCCCGCCTTAGGCTACCTCTCTCCACCAATGGTGATCGGTTAGGTCTGAATTCAGGAAAGTAACCAATGGTGGAAACGCCGAGCCTGATCGCATTCTATCACTCTGGTAATAGCCCTGACTCACTGCGACGATAATAACTATGCACTCTCCCCTGGTATCTTCCACTACCATCTGTCTCCGCTTCGAAAAAAATTGCGTTCTAGAGAGAATGCGACAAATAGGTGTATTTTCGACAATTTTCCACAGAAAATTCAAAAAAAATTGGGCCATCGACTTCATAGTCACACCCACCTTATTCTCCTTAGTCGTTGTTCTCTTCCGGTTACCCCTTTTTCCGGGCAGGGAACCATTTTCCAAAAGAGATCCAAGTTAAAAGATAAGAAAAAGAGGCTGAAAAGGGTTAATGTTACCAGTAGGAGCCCCAGTTACGTTTTGGACTGCAGTTTGGCTCAGATAATGCGTTGCTGAGCCAGATAGGATGTAGATGTAATGTAATGATGTAATTCTGCATTTTAGTCCCCTCTCAGACAGGCACTGAAACCAATAGACAACCAATAAGACAGGCAAAGGCGCACTTGGTCTGACGGCGACCTGCAGGACCTGCCCCCTCCCACGCGTGGCACTTGAACTGGCATCTGCTACATTTAGGCGTATATTCGTGACAATAATATTGACAATTGTTACTCTGCAAATGTATTACTCACATGTAAACTCTCGTGCGCAGCTCTTAGTCAGAACATCTTTGAACTGCTGAAACTGCGATTTAAAATTCCTAGAGGTTCTGTGGTTATGGTCGCTAGAGCCGTTGTGAAGGGTGGCCGCTGTAGACTGATACACTGTGCGCCGGCACTCGCACAGCAGAGCAGAATTGATTTAAGGCGTGTGGGTGCTGTCGATGATGCCGATTTATTCGACTATGGAATGTCTTATTAGTCGTGTGACCAGTTGCGCAGCGCAAACGTTCTGTAGACCTGTATGATTGTAGCTCTTTAGGGAATAGGCAAGCAACAAAAAATATAAAGAGAAATTGAATCACCAAATAGTAAAAAAATACGTTTGACTGATTCCGATTATTTTTAAAGAATGGCAGCGGTGAATGTAGGCTTGATAGTAGTATTGGAAGTCCGCTCCCCCTCACTTAGTTGCAGAGAATCGTTATCCCGGATCAGGTCCCGCACAGATCCAACCAGGCTTTCTATTGTCTCGGGTTATGGCAAGTAGCATATCAGATAGCTCTTGAGGAGCGAGAAGAACACTGGCAATTGCACTTCGTTGGCACATCGCAATTCAGCCGGGGACATACCAACACACTTCAATACAATTCTAAATGGAAGTGGAAAGCGTGGTTGCATGCAACCGAGCATAATCGCGAACGCTCAAATTGTATTTTCACTGTGTGAAGTAGTAGTAGAGTAGTATAGTAGGATAGTAAGAATCTTCACAGGAGCGCCTGACCTCTCCGGCTGGCTATACGGGGTAACAGCGAAGGAACCACCCCTGCTTCGTAATTCAGCCACCTCTTATTTTCCTACGCCTTATGACCATTGATCGAATCATTGTGCCTGTATACTTGAAATCCAGCGTTTGTATACCAGTAAACCTATTCTCGACAGAGCCAAAGTTTGCATAGTCTGAACTCCGTGATCTGCAGAAACAGTAGGTAGAACCCTTGTCACTGCATTGTTCACTGGAAGTCCCAGAAAACTTTTCGTGAAAAAAATTCGGATACCTTTTAGCACGGTGAAAACAGTAACATAGCCAAGTTAAACCGAGCACTCGTACTCTTTCTGCTTCGTGCCATTCATAGGACTAGCTTCGAAGATTTCTCTTCAGGAATGAAATCCTGGGAAATAGAACGAGTCTTTTCCTCAACTCATGATAGTGGAGTACGGACCAAGAATAATTCCTAGCGTGCCACACCGTTGGCCGCGCCGGCATCATGCTGTGGTGCACGCAATTCTCGATATGTATCTCTTGTGATTTGGATCACGCGGGGAAAACTCACGTCTACGAATCAAGAGAGGGCAAGACTAATTGATATGTGTCCCCCCCCCCCCCCCCTTAAATGGAGAGACAGGAACAAATCGTCTCTCGTTCGCTCGTGGGTCTTTGCGCCACGCCCAGCGCGGCATATTACGATTGTCTTTTCACATACCCCTCATAATGTTTTTCCTCAAAGTTTTTTTGTGGAAGATCTGGTCTAACTCACGCCTCGGAACGTTAGATTTTAGAGCCAATTTTACCTTGCCGTACTGGTGCTAATGGCTCTCAAAATCCTATTCGAGCAAATGGTTGTTTTTTCCTTGCGCATATTTTGTTGAGTCGGATGTAATCTTATTCGCTGTTCTCCTTGGTCTTACAAAGCATCCGGTACCATACTCTCAAATAAAAATGAACGATGCGGCGTGTGGCTTGCTCCGAGCGGTGTCGCTTTAGGATCACAGATAGCTCATAAGGTTGGGCTTGATTGTGCGCCGACATATATCCTATTTTTCAGTC